CTCTCTCTCTCTCTCTCTCTCTCTCTCTCTCTCTCTCTCTCTCTCTCTCTCTCTCTCTCACTCTTTCTTTATCTTTCTCGTATTGTAGACGGGAAAGAAACGTCGCAAACGATCCTCGAAAGTGATTTAAAAGATTGTGCTGGCTCACAAGAAGGAGCTGGACGAAATTTCATCAGGAATCACATAGTTCACTGAGTTTTTCTTCAGCGCGCTTACTGTGCGAAGAAAAAGGCTTTTTGCAGCTTGTAAAATGGAAAAATAGTTGTATCTCTTTCTCTCTCTCTCTTGCGCGCGCGCGCTCTGTCCCTTTCTCTCATCTCACATTCTCACCCTCAACCGCGCTTCGTCTCCGCCTTTCAGAACAGCTACAACTTTTTTCTGGATTTTTTCTTGGTTTTTCCTTTCTTGTTTCTTTTTTCGCTTAAGTTCGACGAGAGTCACCCTGTGAGTACACGCACGGAGGGCCGCAAAAGTTACCCTGTGCGCAGGTGCTAAATGCCCAAGAGATATTTGGGTACGCTTTTTTTTTTTAACTGCTAAGTATCGTCCGCTGATTAAATATAATTGACTTTACTTAACGTGCGTGGTGATGGCGAGAGGGCCGTAAAATATACAATATTTCTTATACGCCACGCATTCGTTCTTGGGATAACACGTGCGCGACGAATTTGCAAAGTGGCGAAAAAGATATAGCTAAACATCAAAATGCCACTTTGAAGAAAGAAGAGAAATTAGCAAATTTCATGGAGATATAAATTATCATTTCAGGAAATTGCTCTAGGAAAGAAAAACTTTTGTTATTCAAAAATATGTCGTTTGAAATATTAGACAAACATGTGATTTCTTCCTGAAAGATTGTCTTAACAGACAACCCAAAATTTTGAATTTATTGTCTACTTAGAATCTTGTGTCCAATCTCCAATTACGAAGATTGAAGAAACATAATTTATACATAGAATGATCCTTTTAATTAACTTATTTTTTACGGGATTAACACCTAGAACGCCGGGAAGGTTGTTGCGTTCATTTTAATCTTAATTCATTTTAATCGCATTACTTTCGACGAAGTGTTATTGTAAAATACAACGATCTGTAGATACGCTTTTGACGAATTAGGCGCGTAGGGTAAAAAATAGCGTGTGGCGAAAGAATGCCAAAATGTTATATTTCTTCTTAATTTCGTAATAAAGAAGCTCGTTCATAATATATACGTATGTGGGACATGTATACAGTTTTAACATGTAAAAGAAATATATTGATGAAAAAGGATATTCGTCGCGGATCTGCAGCGCGATGATAACTAGATGAATTTGTAAAGATTTTTGGCGCACTACTCTCCGCTTCCGTACATGCGCAGAATCGAGACTGCTTATTTGTAGCTCATATTTCATAATTTTCACCATGTGTGTGCGATACAATTACGTGTAATTAGCAGTATCATCATTAGATTTTTTTATTATAATTAGTGTTACAAAAGCGCTTGATTATACTTGGATCGGACTGTAGCAATATATTCACATAACTATCGTCGTGGAAAATAAAAATTTAACGTTTACATTATACAATTATTCTTTATCATCATTCATCGAGTCGCTATTTATTTGTAAGTTCTCCTCATCGATTCACGTAATAAATACAATTGTTTTATATAGTTATAATCATTATCATCATCCTCAGCATCATCGGCTCTCCCAACCCAATTCACCCTCGTCTATTACTATATACCGTTTCACGATATTCTAGTCAAGAAGTGTTTCCTCCTTTATGTCATATTCCCCTATATAATAATACGAATCACACGATCTATTAAAAAAAAATAATAAAAAATTAATAAACGCTCGACAAAGATCCATATTTTCGCAAAACAAACTAAGCGAAAACCATCCCTTTTCGCCGCTTTCTATGCGCGATCGATTGTAGTTTTATTCCACCGATTATTGCGTCGATTTAATATCGAATTCTTTCGGTTATTTCATCGATTGTAAAATACTAAGCACCGTGAGTTCATCGCGCGACGTTGTACGCGAGATTGCACGAGAAAGGAGTAGTATTGTTTATCGCACTACTACTCGGGTACTAAGGGTATAATCGGTAATCGCGGGACCGCAGTGTCCCTGACGTTATTACGCAGAGATCGATCGTTGTGGCATTGCACTATTTCATTCTCTTTCTCTTTCTTCCTGTCGACTCGTTAAAATTAATCAGCGTTCGCCAATTGTTCTTACGACTACGAGACTACTAATATGAAGTATCATGAATCGCGTATCTACTGGCACTGATAACGACCGAGACGAAAGCACACAGAGCGGAGATGCGAAGTATCCGAACGAAAGGTACACGCTTACGAAAGAAATCAGTACCGCGCGAGGTCGTGCGGACACTCTCGTTCGCACACAGCACTAAATTCACAATAATCAATTATTATGTACAAAAAATCCTATATTCCATCGATCGCGTCTCTTTCCTTTCACGATCGATTTCGAGACTCGACGTGTCATTTTTTCTATTCTTCTTGCGTCTCACACGCTTCATTGCATTGCGCGGCATGCATATGTCGTACGGAGCCACATGAATTAAATATTAACAAATATACCTAACTTATATTTCCTTCGCGACATCCAGCGACTTAATAAAACGAAATCCTAAGGATAGCCTCGTCCTTGTGATCGCCCGCTACTTCCACGAGATGAAGATCGAGCGGTTATAAGCTCTGTGGTAAATTTTCCCTTATCTTCTTACTCTGATATCTTTGTGCCCCATACTCTGAGAGCGTGGATGGTCGCGTTAAAAAGTTACATGATTCAGAATTGTGTTCCCATATGTGCTTAACAGTGGTACGAAAAATATATCTTATATGTTCGCGCGCAAAAGATAAACGCGCTCGATCAATCTTTTCGGAAGCTGTAACGGGCAATCGATCACTTAATCCTCCGGAAGTTAAAGGAACGATCACATCCAGTTTCCAACAATTGTATAACCTTAAAACGATCATCACAAGAATATGATATTTCTATATCGTTTCTCTTTCGCGTCGACTTTATTGCTATAAAATGCACGTCAAACATCGTCCATAATTATGAAACGATCAAAAAATATGAAATAACGTCCACTTTCTGATTGCACAGTGAATAAATTTGTACCAAAAGAAACGTCAAGTAAGAAATATCATACCGTGGATCGAAACAAGGACTTAGGGGTTCCCGGAGGAGGTGTTCGGAGAGCTTGCGTTGATCAAGCAAACGAATAAACTGAGGGGAAGAGAAAAGAAGTTCGTCCAACAACTAGGCTGGCAGTAGTTGAGGAGACGACAACGCTAGACGCGATAATTTCTTCTTCATCCAGGCAATCCATGGCCTTCCTCTCTGATTCTCTTCTCCGCAAACTTATCCTCCGATCCTGGAGTTCTCCCGCGATCCTTACTGACCTCCATTGCTTTGGTAAAGCACAAAGAAAGCGACGAAGGTGTCTTGAGTGTTCGATAGCACCTGTTAAGGTGCCTCATACCGATCATGAGTCTCACTCCTGCAGGAGCGTTTACTCAAATTACCTAGATCGTTCCAAGAGAAAGAAGATCGAACGAAGGACTTATTAATTGATGATCTTCGAGACTAGTTTCGTCACTTGATCACATCTGCTGCCAAAAGACTACAATTTGTCCCCCTATATAACACTCGATAGAATAAGCTTCTTCCCTTTCCATGTTTTTTCGCTTGCGTTTGTTGCTTTCCCGAAGGAGAGGAAGATAGGTTCGTGGACGTGGATTTAGCTTCTTTCTTTTCTTCATTCTTTTTATCCCTTTCTTTCTCCGGTTTCCCCTCCCTTTCTCGCTACGACGCTCCGGCGATGTCCAGGCGGTAGGTCAGACTATTCGGATGCTTCCTCGACGAGAAGGGGACCGTGGATGGGCTGCTGCTCTGCGGTATCTACCGAGTCCCAGCACTTTCTGACGACTGAGCAACTGCCACGGGATTGTGGCTTGTTTCATACTCCATCACCTCTTGGTAGATCAGCTCCTTCCACTGGTCCACCGTGTGTTCCCTCTCGTCCACGCTATGGTCGTATGGACCTGGTGCAGGCTACAAAGCAAACCAGAATTTTCTATAAACTACTACACAAAAGAAAGATTAACAATTAATTTTATGAGTATTTAATTAATATAGACGGAAGTACATCTTATTAAAAAAAAATTTCTTCGTCACGTAAAAGGTAACTGTTTGCAGCATTACGTTCTCACATTTACTAGAATTATATAATGATAATTTTTTTAAGTAATGCACACAATGATTTTGTTGAAATATCTCAAAACTTAATGAGATACACAGATCGGAAAATAATTTTGTTGGATCATCAAAATAATTATGTAGGACACTTAAACTCGTTGCTAGAATGTCAAAACTTTTTGCAACATAGGTATGCTTGAAATTTCTATGTATTTTGATGACCAACAAAATAATTTTTAAACCATAGTATCTAGCCAATTTTTTTAGGTAATTTTTCAGCAAAATCGTACTTTTTATGTAAAAATTTTTTAGATATAAGAAAATTTTAATGTAGTTTTTCAAATTGAATCAATGACTATGATGAATCCTATTTTTCCTGAAATTCGAAGAAGATAATACGATTGGAAACGACCATCCATTCACGCGATCAATCGACAGAGCCTACTTACAGCATTGACTTCCCCCTCATCGTACCAGACGTTTATGTAATTGTGCAGCAACGCCTCGTCCACGGAAATGCGTCGCTCCGGGTCGATCACGAGCATGCGCGATAATAGATCCCTGGCTTGGCTCGCTAGAAAAGGAAGTAAAAACTGTAAAAGGAAGAGCCAGGGAGAGGCAAGACAAGGCGATGACGAGAATGCGGATAATCTCATCGTCCGCGCGCCGCGCCGGAACGTGCGCGTTTTGCGATCAATCTCGCGATGCAGGGCGTCGACTTGCTGACCTACTCACCTTTTAATCTATTGTGTTCTGAGGAGTCCGAGGGGAATAGGACATCCGGAAATAGCCTCTCGAAGGGATAACCTGGATATCGTGGCCTGTTCTCTACGTAATTCCTGACGGTTGGCTGTAGTCGTTGCATGAATTCTTGTGCCGGTGTTCCAAGTTGTTCTGCAGATAAAAGCAACAATCTTATTTTTACCAGTCAGAGAGTCTTCGAGATAATTGTACGATTGTTCCTTATGTGACAAAGAAATATTAAAAAGAGAGTACTTTAAGACAATATCATAGTTAACCTGTCAATAAAAATTATTAGATCATATATCTTTGCTAATAAAAAGTGATCGTAATTATCTGCTCATAATAAAAAAAAAATCATAAAATGTATAATTAATTAAATAATTGTAATTAAATTAAAAAATATTAAATAATGATGTACAAATATTGCTGAATGCATTTATAATGCAAATAATTTTATAAATTCTAATAAAATCATTTGTCATCTCATGTTTTCATGTCGACGAGACATTTTTAGAATGGATATGATACAGCAATATCATGGAATTATATTTAATATCTCTTTAATTCTATTTTGTACATTTTATAAAGTTTTATTTTGTACTACCAGATTATCAAAATTATTATCAAAATGTTGGACAGTATTATAATAATTATTATTATCATTATAAAAAAATTCAGTCTTACCGATTATTTTGTTCCACTGGTCAATGTGATCCGTGCCCGGAAACAGTACGCCACCGCGTATCATCTCACCCATGATGCACCCCACCGACCAGATGTCCACATTCTCTTTGTAACCCATGCCCAGAATTACCTAGTAAGAAAAAAACGAACGCCTCGAATGAGCAAAACGGATCGAACTGATCGGAATAACTAAATTGTGCGAAAAATTACAGGAGAATCCAACTCACCTCCGGCGCCCGATAATATCGCGTGACGACGTAGGGCGTCATCATAAATGTGGTACCGGCGGTCCTCGCCAAGCCAAAGTCGAGAATCTTTAGCGTACAGTCAGATTTTACGACAATATTGCTTGGCTTTAGATCCTATGCGAGAAATAAAGCCAAATTATAGAGATTTGTCTCAAGAAAGAAAAAAATAATTAAAATATCAAAACTAAAACAGCCAATACCGTGAGAAGATGCCATGCGAGCGATTAATAATTATTGCAAAATGGCGAGTTAACGCTATACCAGCTATTTTCAGCTGTATGAATTTTAATTTCTAGAACGTTAATTACGCAGATAATCCCGCAATCGTTGCGCCGCGTTCTCATTTTTAATGAGCGCGACTCCGGTTTAGCTATTCTATTATAACGTGCGGCGCACCGGGAAATTAATCGGAACGGCGGCAGTTATTTCTTTCGCCGCGGCGGGACAACAGTAACCACGGGGCTACGCTATGCAGGAATGGTCGTTGCTAATGAATCTCGTTACGGTAGATTAAATGGCTCTACCCGTTATGCAATTTTCATCAGAGCGCAACGTGCGAATAGCTAACGTCACCTACCCTGTGGATAATGCCGGCGGAGTGCAAGTGCTTGATGCCGCACAGCATCTGATAGAGGAGATACGACATACGCTCGTGGTCCAAATCCATCTGGATTACTTGGCATAGGTTAGCGTCCATGAGTTCCATCACTAGATACACGTCTTGAAACTCATCCAGCGACCGTTGCGGCGTGAACGCGTTCAGGAGACCGATTATCTGCAAGACGACGAATCGTAAATTGATGAGGTCGTTTCCGAAATCCTTGGGCAATACTTGGACATTCTGAATAATATAGAATAAAATTTTTCTGCTCCTTTCTCTTAGATTATTCAGATCTCAAACTTATCTTTCTTTCTCTCGGAAACTATTTACATTGTTATTTCAATGCAATTCAACACCACGATTGTGCTGGTAACACCGAATTAAAAATTAAATGAGATTGTAATAAATTGTAGCAAAAATTGAAACTACACATTAACCAGATTAAGATAAACATTTATAAATGAAATCTGTATAAATATACTTTAATTTTAATTCTTATCATAATCCTTTAATTTATAATTTTGTTAACAATTACTCTGTCAGAAATTATTTGATGACCAAGACAAATTACAATTGTGAATATGATAGGATAATAGTTAGAAACTCGCAATGTATTGTTATTCGTCGCAGCAACATTTTCTCATTTAACTTTATGCGGCTCTTTTCCATGCATTTCTATCCAATTTAATTGAAAGAAACGACAAAGAGTTTTACTTCATTTGTATAATAATACAGTACAACGCGCAATTACAATTCTCACAAAATAATGTTACATATCAAGACACATACTGTACATATGTTTGATTTAACAGTAAGATTTGAATTGAATAAGATATTAGATTTATACATATATATTACACTTATACATATTTTATCACAATTTAAAAAAACGAAGTAATATTTTTCGCAATAAATTATTCGCAAATGTATTATTTTTCAGAGTTCTTATTGTTGATCAAATCATCATATCTTTATAAGATGCTTATTATAACATCAATATTATTAAATTAGTTGTTAATTTAATACGTGACATTACTATTCTACAGTTTTGTTCGTAATTGCGTGTCAAGACTGAAAAAGATTTCGGCGCGCGGTTTACTTGAAATTGATATATGAATAAATTCACATCAAAATATTTAAGCATTAAAATCCACTTTGACTGATAATAGAATTTCTCTTACTTAATTAGATTTAGTCTCACTGGTTTAATTTAGAATTATAATTGTTTAAAAAAAGTATTTGTTATGATATATACAACAACGTGCATTGCCAAAAAGTATACGAGTATCACGCATTCATAAATGGCCTCAATGGAATGAAATTGATGGAAAGAACTTACGTTTTTGTGATTGACCAACTTCATGAGTTTGAACTCTCTGTAGGCCCTTTTCGCGTGTGTCACGTTTTGAAAAGGTCTGGATAGCTTCTTGATCGCCACATTTTGTGCAGTGACGGTATCGTATGCCGCGCTGCAACAGAGATAGAGGAAAACATTCAATATCGTTCGATCATACACGATTGAACGCGCAATTTCATCAAATTAAATTAAATAATTAGAAGTCAATAAATATTCTGTTAGTTATAAATATTTTTTGGTCTAAATTTACTTAATTTCCAGTTGCGATAAGCGTGCCTATCCTGTTCGTATGGCACAATTTAATAAGATTCAATCAGATTTTCAATTTCATAAATTAATAATTATTAATTTAAATAATAATTTAATAAAAAGAGAACTATTTGGATAAAAACAGAGTACAAACGCATTTTATCAAAAAGTTTATCATATTAATGTACAAAATAATAAACTCATAGAACTTCAATTTAAAAAAAAACAATATTATAAAAAATAGCTCCTAAATTAACGATATGGAGTGACTATTCCGCAAGGAAAGGTTAAAGAAATGTGCACCAAATTTGTGCAGCGAATTTAATATCTTGGACGTGATATAAGCTTTTCGACACAAAATAAAATATACCATAAGGTAGGAAGACAGAAAATGGAACAGACAGAAAAATAGACACACTCGCAGCGTATAATCTGTATAAGTCGTGGATTTTACTCACCATACGATACCCTGAGCGCCGACGCCACGCGGTACGACGTCGACGTATCTCTCGGGTATGCAAAGCTCGGTGTCGCCGAAAATGTGACAACGATAGTCGCTCCGAATGTTGCTCGATTCCGTCGCGTTCGTCGCCATTACCTCTTTTTAAATGTTCTTTAATACCCTCTTTCTCTCTCTGTTTCTTTCTCTCGTGGCAGATCTCGTGCCTTAATTTAGGTAGTGTATATCACGGCTTTAGCTACCAAACCAACGACACAAGGACTACAGGATACAGGAAATGAAAACGATCAAGCCAATCGCGGCAACGGAGAAAATTTATCGTCGTCAGTTTCAATGACACTTGCGAAAATTCTTTTTCAATGATTAAATGGCGCAAGTTACGAGTCCATAGTGGAACTCATTTATTTTGTTAATATATTACAATTTATACGTTAAATAAGAAAAGAAAAGATCCGCACAATAATTATTAACGTCATTATTAATTTACGTTAAACAATTAAAGTTTATACAAATAATTATATCAATTTCAATTCCTATTTTTGAAAAAAAAAAAAAAAAAACTTTTTTTAACTTGTTTTTTTATTATTTTTTCAAATCCATAATTTATATCGCCAAATAAGTTGCCTACGAACGTAAATTAAAATACATCTATGGCAGCAGATGACGAATTTAATTTTATTATTTATCGTGAACATATAGGAACTTGCTGAAAGATATTAAATTATATATTGCGCCTCGCGTTGCAAAACGCGTCGCGTTTCGCGAAACATAATTTTTCTCCGTCGACCATCGCAACAACGTCACCGACAGCATTCTCAAAGGACAAACGAGCATGATGTATAACTGTTGGAACGAGCTCGAGTTAAGCCCGTCGTTCCACCTGGCAATCCTTCAAAGACCTCTCTCTCTTCTTCTTTCTTTCTCTCTCGATTTTCCTTCAAGAACAGCATCACGTAAATTCGTGCTTGATTATCGGAACCATCCATTTTTTAGTGCATATTTTTGCAAAATATCACATATTTCGCGTCAATGTAAATCGTGAATTAATCAATGGTAGAGAGGTGGATGGATCCAAAAACCATGCAATAAAGATAAGCAAATCAGCAAAATAAAAGAATATAAAGTCAAATTAAAATTGTTAATAGGATTGCTCCGATATAGTCACTTTTGAAAAGTTCTGCACTGTATAGTTATTATATTAAATTATATTTTATATATATGTATATAAAATTATATTTTATAGACGTATATATAATTCAGAAAATATAGATATTATATATAAAAGTTTTATAAAGATAAAATAAAAAATCAAATGTGCATAAAAAAAAAATAGATAATTTATCAAGCCACAAGTACGTTATTATGTAGGAAACGATAATTTTAAAATTCTATAAAACTATTAATTTTGATTTTTTTAATTTTTTAAATCATTAGACATTAAATTAGTTAATAAATCAAGTTATTAATTCTTTGCAATAACCTCTTACGCTTCAAATTACATCGTAAAAGATTTCGATTTTTTACTTAAAAATACTTCGCAGTTGTGACTCGTTAAATGGACGCGATTTGCAAACGAATTTAATTATCAGTCAGACCAAACCGGAAAAATAATGAGCGATACCAGAAATATGCTGCTAGAAAGCACGTGAAAGGCATGCGGATCTTCCAGCGTATAATCGTAAGTATAGGGATTTTTCACGACGGAAAATTACCTTCGTCCTACCTTTCAAAATGTTTGTCTCATGTTGGTCTCCGAGATCGTTTCCTCATAAGAGAAATCGCATTCGACGGTCGATTAAACGAGATCAAACGAGCTCAGAACTCCCTCTTGGTCTTACTCGAACATTTCTCTGTGACTTACAGTTTTAGAATAATGGTAAAAGCCACCGGGTATATCCACATAGATCCCCTCGAAAAAATTATTAACTTTCTTCCTCTGAGAAATTTTGTGACTTCAAAACAACGAACATATAATTGTTATTAAAAAATTATTTAAAAAAGTTTCCGTACAAGTTCTAATTTGAGATAACCTTTTTTTAAAAGCATAATAATAAAAAAGATATAGTTCAAAACAAACAAGTCGATGATATTAAAACAATAGTTTGACCTATATTTTTAAAGAAACGAACAAAGAAAAGTAATTTTAAAGTATTCAGAAAACATAATTTAGATTTGATTTCTCGAATTTTTCAAAACGCTACATTGTTTTTGTGTCACTAAGAATTTATCGAAATATTAAATAATGTGTCAAATATTTCAAGACTTTCAATAATTTAATTTAAATGTAATTATTTCAATAATTATTTCCATAAATACTTAGTGATACATTTTAGTAGAGCATAAGAATTAATAAATTAAATTAGTAAATCCTCTGCTTTGAAATAATTTCAGAATATGCATTCCTCTCGATATATGTCAAATTTTCAGAATATATTTTATCTCCAAGAAATGCTATCAACTCGAAATACTCTTCAGCGGCATTTTACCTTCATCTCGATCGCAATATCAAGATACTTTCCGTCACTGTGAATTTTCATGGATACTTTCATGAAAGCTTCAATATAACATTTTTTTATAGTCATCAACATTTTATAATATTATATTAAAATTAAAAGTGTCTTGATTAGAATATTCTTAATTTTTATAGGATAATGAAATTTTGTAATATTAGCAAAAATTATCTCCGGTATTCCTGATAATGCAATGGATTAATGTGTAGGTCACAGATTCCACCGTGGATAATATCCGGCCGTCGTTAGCCGATTTCCTTTTGCATCCCGACCTACCTTCCGTGCACACGAAATCAACCGTCCTTTTCGAGAGTAGCTCGCTCCTCTAGGGGCGTGACAAAACGAAAAGGCATCTCGCATATTTCCCGTAATGGACTACGCCACGGCAGAATTTTTATCGAAAACCGATATCCGCATTCCCTTCGTTCGTCCATTCGTTCGACTTACCTGCATGCCACGGCCACCATGTATTGTTCGAGATTGCGCTTTCTCGGATAATGCAGTATTTCAGTTCCTATCGAATGTTGAAAGAAGAGACACGTGCGAAGCACCGAGAAAAGCGATCGAAGAAAACGATCATCGTGATAGACCATTGCTTACCCGATCGATAATGTTCGCTATAAATTTCAACAATCTACGAATTCGGAACCATCATACTAAAGCTAAATCGTTAATAGTCAGAGCAAAAGTGAAAAGTGAGAATAATGGCCATTTGCGAAATTGTCAGATCCACTGAGAAGAACAGATTATGAGATATAATAACCTACTATCATTAAATCCTCTTCCTACTTTAACGAAAACTTTGGAAAATCGATATATTAAAGTTGTGAAATTCAAAACTTAAATTACTTTTAAGTTTGTAAAAGGAAATAAATTAAGAAATGCAAAAAATATTCTGATTTTATAATTTTAGATTCTAATTTTGCTGAAATGTTAAAGGAACGTCGCAATCACGGTTAACGTGAGCAGTGATATCATAGGAAACAAATCATAATTAAATTCAATGTTTCATGAGTTGATTCACATATATTTAAAAAATGGAATATATAAAACAGTACTAAAATCAGAAAAGAACAAGACGTTCTATATTACATTAATTTTAAACTCCGATTCTAAATTCGTAGACACAATTTCTTTTATCTGTCTGTGTATTTCCTCTTTCTCTATCTATTTCTTATCTTCACTGCAATATCTTTATGCCGTTACAATCGTATTGCTTTAAATTGTTGCAACGTAAATACCGTTCTAAATGCCTTCCAGATATATCGGGGTAGTATGACGGTATCTATTCGGTGCTCGGATATTCACAAGAAAAAGCGCCGTCGATTTAATTCGCTTCCTCTGAAAATCGGATATCGATGGCAAGAACGACGACGAAGAACGCTGTGAAACTGTCATCGAGGACAATTTTTCCGACATCACGCCATCGGCTTACAAGGAAGGGGCGTTGTGTCTCTCGTCGTCGCCGCTCCCCGTCGCCGGAAACTCGCGTAGTCTCGCGAAATCCCGACATCTCCTCTTATTCCGAATCGAATTGTCCGATTTACCCTGCCTCCCCCGTTCCTCTGCATGGCGAATGGCGTCTCCCATTCTTTGCCGTTGATCTCGGTTGGTCCCCGAGCGCGAGTAAGAGAAATCGTGGTTAACCCTCTTTCCCCCTTTGATATATATATGTCGACGTAGCAATACAACGTATGTTCGGCCTCAAATCCACCTGAAAACTTTTACGTCTGATGGATATCGGGATTGTTATCGATTGTATACGCAGCTTGAAGGAAGGTAGATGACGTTATTTTATTCAGGAAACAGATATATCATCGGGATATATCACAGCAGAACGTTATAAACATCGCGCGTGATAAATAAACTTTTCATATGGTTGCGTATTCGATTTCCGATACTGAAACTAGATCAGTAGATTTTTCGAATTCTTTTGAATTATTTTATGTACAATATTATTTTTTATTCTCGTGTTAAATCGTATATTTAATTCATTGCGATTTCTAAAGAAGCGTCGTCGGTTCTCGCATGTGTCTCTCCTTAATTCTAATAGGCTAATAATTCTAAAAAAAATTGCTAGATATATTACAGCAACTATTGAAGCACTCACCAGACTATCCCCTGCGCACCCGATCCGATAGGCTTGAGGTTTTGGTAGCGCTTCAGGATGGTGAACTTGGTGTCCCCGACCTCGACCGTGTAGAACATGGCGGATAGCCGGGTTGTCATGTCAGGCCCCAGGTAAGGCATGCGCCTCGGTGTTCGTCTCTCCTGCTGCTGCACCTGCACACCGTCCACCCCGCTGGAGCACTCCTGGTGCGCACGACGGGGACTTACGCTCTTAGCCACTTTGGACGTGAGATTTTCGGGGCACCCACGGAATAGTAGCACTGACAACGCTGGCAGGTACCTCCACTGGGCTGCGCTGCACCTACAAGTGCCACGTCAGACCGTTCCTGCGGCAGATCGCGCCTCGGCACGTTGCTGCCCCTAATGCGATGAGTCCCTACGTGCCCCAGAATTGTCTGTAATAAGAAAAGCAAAACTTCGCATAAATCCATTATTTAATGACAATTTCAATCGATATTATTTATCATATTTGTCGCAGTTATGATAAAAAATAGACAAATCTTCAAAATGATAATAATTCACGATGGACTGAGAGAGAGGTGTGTCTTGTGGATGTGCTAAAAGTATTTGTGAATATAATTACCTATTACCATAATTATAGTTATTACTGCTAGTCACCTTTGGGACAACTATATGATTGATTCAAAAATTATTATAAAAATGAATATAAGTAGTTAAATTATAATAATTATAACTATTTATATGATAATAAAAACAATTATTTGTAGCTACTTGCAGTGCCAATTATATGGTATATTTGTTGCTAGAACTATACACATTTGCATATATACTTATTATTATTACTAACATATAGTATTATTATAGTAATAATAAGCATAATAATAATTATTATAAAAATCATAATAACATTTAAATATAATCACAAGTACCATAATTTTTTTCTTAGAGTAACTGTTACCGTTTATTTTGATTTATTCATATAATACTTTGGCACAGTAGAACAGTGCTATCAAGAAATTTAAAAAGGAAAAAAAGAATAAGAAAGAAAGAGACCTGAAAAGTGTGACATTTTACTTGAGAATTTTATATAATTTAATAATAATTTCTCTCAAGGACGCAGCAGAGTGCACGCGACGCAATATGACACGATATTTGGATATGACACGATACCATGGATAAATAATCGAAACTATATCATTTGTGCGAGCTTAATCAACGTCATTTACGCAGATTTGTGCGTGACTGGTTTATGCGTATAATAAACAAACATTAATCAACATTAGAGAAACACAAAAGTCAAAGGTCGAAAATGATTTCGTTATACCTTCCATCATTAAAGCGAATTATTCGGACAGGAAAGTAAAACTCGAGGTTGCAATTCAAATCAAATTATCATATATTTGAATTTAGATGAGAATGAAACATCAGGTGTGTCCAAATTATATGACCATCATGGATTAGTGATTTGGAATAATGCACCATGTTTCAATGCTCATACGTTCATATATTCGAATGATCATTAAAAGCCATTTTAACGTTCTCATGGTTCATATATAAAACCAGTTAAACTTATTCTTAGGATCTAATCTCAACTCAATATTCAGCGAAAATCCACTTAAGATCTAGCTAAGATCCAGGTTGAATTTAAAACTGGATCTAAATTGAACCAATTTTATATTAGAGCCATTCATTCATTTTTTACGATTAGCATTAAGAGTTATAGTTTTACAATCAGCATTTTTTAAAAGACATTTAAGTAAGAGAAATTTTTATTAAAAAAGAAAACTATCATTGTGCGTGCATGCGTGCGTGCGTGTGTGAAAACGTACGAGAACATTATATTATATACTCGTACGTCTGTTTTTAACGTCGTTTTTAATTCTCATATATCCTACATTTAATATTTATCTAATTCCTATAAATGGAGCTATTAATAATCATCACATATCATATTATCAATCATAATAATATATGTAGGATAATTTATCCGATAACTCGTAACTCGTTCTCGTTCATCGAGGAAAATTAATGTAACACCGATATACCTATATACAAATAGCATTGTTCGCATGCAAACATTTTTTGCTTAAAATTTGAACTACATTCATCACGCCAGTAATACAGACGAGAGGAGAGAAACAAAAGCTGTTATTTTTTAAATTTGAAAGAGTCGAAAGTCATTCACTCGTCAATTCATTATCTTTTGTTTTTGATTGAAGTTGTATGCGAGAATCGCTACCGAATCGAAATGTGTATTTGTTAGCAAAAATTACGCTATCAAGACAATGAAACACAGTGCTATTGCATAAATGGAACCGTTTCCTATCATAACTTTTTATATATATTGTTTTCGGATAGATGAAAAAAATTACATATGAGAATTATCTATCTAGATAGTCGGTATAATCAGTTTGATAGAACTATCGTTTCGTTGTATTTCTCAACTAATTGTACAAAAACTGAAAAATCAAAGGATAAATAAAATAAAGGATTTTTGATAGTGAAAAATTTTAACAAATATATAGATTTCAAAATATCAAATACATTTGAATTCAACAAATAGGTTATTGAATTTTATAAACAAAATAATCTTTACATTAAACGAGACAATTCAGCATGCGTAAGTAGTCAAATTTAAAATTACAGAGGAGCAAATTCAATTCAAATAAGATTAAATAAATAGGAAAAAGAAGCAGAGATGCAAGCGTATTTTTATCGCTCGTAATAAAAGGATTTTGTGAGAAAATTATATTATCAAGAGTTTCAAAAAGAAGCGAGAAAAGAAGATACTTTATTTTCTTGAAAAAAAGGTCTAAGAATAAAAATATCACATCAAAGAGATAATTTTTGTATACTACAAGCACGAGGGAGAATTTAAAGCAGATTCAAACTTTTAAATCAATCAAAACATAGACCTATCATGATTTTGATATCGTAATTTAATGTTATATAATAAGATACTAATATAAAATTTAATAATTTGTAATAAAATATTATCGTAATAAAAGTATTATTATAAAATTGTTCATGTCTTAAAAAGAGAAACATTTTGTTAATAATAAAATGGTATTAACAATAATATTATATAATATATTCTTATAAACTTCTTATTAAATATACCTGATTAAAATATCTTAAATAGGAAAGTGATCAATAAACTCTAAAAATATATAATATAAAAATTAATTAAATAAACAAGTTAAGCTTTAATAACTTACAATACTAAAACTGAAATAGGAGCTTCGAGTGCAAACGCTAAGCGAGAACTAGACTAGGGCACTGAACGGAGATGGGGAGTGTCAAAGAGAATATTTCTAACTAAAGGAGAACAGGACAAGCAAAGATGTTTTCATCAGTTTGCAGAAACTAGCACTCCATCAGCGCAAACCACAGCGAAAGGGAGATGAAGAGAGACGCGAATCCGTGGAATCCCATCAACAGACGCAGCAGCGACAGCTGTATAAATCGTTAAAGATAATAGTGCCTGTCGCTGAGACATGTGATAGGGAAGAAGGGTGACTATCTCTGTGGCATCTTACTCCGAATGATCTGGGTCGTCTTGCTTCTGTATATCATTGGCGAAGACTACGACTATAGAGAAATTGTAACGTCCGTCATCGTGTCGCTCTTCGATCGGTCGATAGGGCGAACACCCTCACGAGCGAGTAAGCAATCGAGCTTTCAAGTTTGTGTGTAATATATGGCTAACCCAATTGCATCTCGATTCAACGTTTGGATAATACGAGCCTTGTCAACTATCAGATATCGATTAGAGAGAGAGAAAGAGAAAATTGACAGAAATATATACGCATGTAGCTTATCACAATATATATGTAATAAGAAAAATCAATTAAGTCCACTTTTGCGCTAAAAAAAATAACAGCTTGATGCCGAGACATCTATCAATCATCAACCATCTAGCCTTTAACAAAAAATATCCTCTAAGTTTCTCTAATGTATATGCCTTCCTTTATGATGTTAAAATGTTATACTTTTTATTTAATATATAACATACATAATTTCTTCTATTAATTATGATAATTTTGATCGTTTATGAGTATTTATACGATATGAAATGGCAAATCATTAGATTGCAATGTAATGTTACCATGTCGTAACTTGGTTGACGACATGACATCTCCGTAGCAGCGGTGAATACTTCGGTGGGCGTGCTTTCTCGAGCGCCGATATCTCTTCTAGCACCTCGGGATTCCCCCAATTATTTATAGCGACTGTCGCAGACGTAGACCGACAACGACAACAACGACGACGGCAACGACGCCGCCGACGCCGCAGTCGTACTCTTCGTGGTTGTCTGCATGGGCCAACCACCTTCCTGGCGTCGTTCGCCACCTGCTATCAATTACGTAAACACGTCGATGAACGTACACACGTTCAATCAAAATACGGAGGCTATAAAAATGCTTCTCTGAAATTTACAGATTACTCACAGTGCTCTTACTCACAGATGTGGAAAAACTCTGAACACCGGTTCATTATGAATAGCTATGGTCAATCGCAATGTGGTCAAATGGGACGCTTTAGAATGCTTGCTTGTTCGAACTTTTAAAAGCTCGATGAAAGTTACGGAGACATTCGATCGAAAGAATGATCGAGAATCACATCATTTGATTAAGAGAAAGTGATGAATTGCAAAACTTTCAGCATCTTAAGATGGTTTAGTTCTTGAAGTGCGAAGTTATGTTCGAAGTAGTGATCTTGAATTGACTTTTAAGATTTCTAGGGGTTATAGAGTTCAGGCAGCGCGTTAAATCTTGAAGTGCTTCGTAAATCTGTGAATATGCTTTGGTCTATTCTTGTGTTAGAAAACGTAATTTGTAACTAATCACAATGATTTTTTAAATAAAAATTTTGATAAAATATTTTAATTTTTTGTTCGCAACCTCTCTCTCTCTCTCTCTCTCTCTCTCTCTCTATCTCTCTCTCGCGAGTAAACTTATCGCGTTTTGTATTTTTCTCTATGGTGATGAAACTTGATGGATATTGAAATAAAAAACACAGAGAATGAAAAACAATACGCAGCCGAAAAAAGGTTCGGTGTTATTTTCACCGACTCCGAAAACCACTTGGAACCCTTTATGAAAATAGCAATGGCTCTCGTGAATAGAAATACAAGACTGTGGAATTTTTACATATTTTTCAGCTGGGTACTCTGTTGAAATAAAACTTCATAAACTGAATAAAAATACCGGATACGCAAAGCGTCACACTTCTATAAGATGAACAAGATTAAGTTCATGGCAAGTACTAACAAATATTCTCTCTCTCTCTCTCTCTCTCAATTTTTTTCAATTTCTTAATTAAAATTAAATTATTGTATATAA